CAATTCTCATCCGATTCTCAAGCGGAGTATCTTAAACGATTTCTGGGTCGATTCTCTACCATTCTGCATCAAAATCCTGAGACAAAATATTTTTCAAATTTTTTGTCCATTTTTCATGATGGGATCCCTTGCAAATGGTGTTTTCCCTATGGGGCCCACAGTGATGGCTATATCTTCCCCAATTCTCATCCGATTCTCAAGCGGAGTATCTTAAACGATTTCTGGGTCGATTCTCTACCATTCTGCATCAAAATCCTGAGACAAAATATTTTTCAAATTTTTTGTCCATTTTTCATGATGGGATCCCTTGCAAATGGTGTTTTCCCTATGGGGCCCACAGTGATGGCTATATCTTCCCCAATTCTCATCCGATTCTCAAGCGGAGTACCTTAAACGATTTCTGGATTGATTCTCCACCATTCTGCATCAAAATCCTGAGGCAAAATATTTTTTCGATTTTTTGTCCATTTTTCCTGAGGAGATCCCTTGAAAATGGGGTTTTCCCCTATAGGGTCCACTGTGATGGCTATATCTTCACCAATTCTCATCCGATTCTCAAGCGGAGTACCTTAAACGATTTCTGGATTGATTCTCCACCATTCTGCATCAAAATCCTGAGGCAAAATATTTTTTCGATTTTTGTCCATTTTTCCTGAGGAGATCCCTTGAAAATGGGGTTTTCCCCTATAGGGTCCACTGTGATGGCTATATCTTCACCAATTCTCATCCGATCCTCAAGCGGAGTACCTTAAACGATTTCTGTATTGATTCTCCACCATTCTGCATCAAAATCCTGAGGCAAAATATTTTTTAGATTTTTTGTCCATTTTTCCTGAGGAGATCCCTTGAAAATGAGGTTTTCCCCTATAGGGTCCACTGTGATGGCTATATCTTCTCCAATTCTCATCCGATTCTCAAGCGGAGTACCTTAAACGATTTCTGGATTGATTCTCCACCATTCTGCATCAAAATCCCGAGACAAAATATTTTTCAGATTTTTTTCCATTTTTCATGATGGGATCCCTTGAAAAGAAGGTTTTCCCCTATAGGGCCCACATAGATGGCTATATCTTCTCCAATTCTCATCCGATTCCCAAGCGGAGTACCTTAAACGATTTCTTTATCGATTCTCCACCATTCTGCATCAAAATCCTGAGGCAAAATATTTTTTAGATTTTTTGTCCATTTTTCCTGAGGAGATCCCTTGAAAATGAGGTTTTCCCCTATAGGGTCCACTGTGGTGGCTATATCTTGCCCAATTCTCATCCGATCCTCAAGCGGAGTACCTTAAACGATTTCTGTATCGATTCTCCACCATTCTGCATCAAAATCCTGAGGCAAAATATTTTTTAGATTTTTTGTCCATTTTTCCTGAGGAGATCCCTTGAAAATGAGGTTTTCCCCTATAGGGTCCACTGTGGTGGCTATATCTTGCCCAATTCTCATCCGATCCTCAAGCGGAGTACCTTAAACGATTTCTGTATCGATTCTCCACCATTCTGCATCAAAATCCTGAGGCAAAATATTTTTTAGATTTTTTGTCCATTTTTCCTGAGGAGATCCCTTGAAAATGGGGTTTTCCCCTATAGGACCCACAGTGAAGGCTATAGTTTCTCCAATTCTCAATAACGTCTTTTTTGTGAAACTTTTGCAATATTAGAACATGAGTTTCTCTGGCAATCAAAATAGTTCTGGTGATATTGCCGGCTTAGTAGGCATCAACCTTGGATGGCCAAAACCAGTCAATGGAATCACTTAACTGGCAAACAAATTAAAAAAAAAAAAAAAAACAAACATTAATTGATTAAATAAGGCAACGGCTGGCAGTAGCCGCTAATAAATGGATGCAATATGCAGTCAAGCTTCAAACATGCAATGCTGCGACTCTCCGTCTTCGGAAAGCTTTGCTGCTGGATTTCCGATTCTAGCCAAAAGATTTTACAACATCTTCAAGGCAAAAAACAGAAAAAAAACAAAAAACAGAAAAAGAACAACAACGGCAATGGGCAACTGTTGCCTCATCGACAGCGGAGCTGCAATAAACCAGTTGGAAGTCGCAGCTAATCTTGCAACACAGTTGCGCAACAAAGAATCCGAAGCAACGGTACTAACGTGTTTGCTGCTTGCTATTGTAGCTTTTTTTTCTTTTTTTTTTTTATCTGTTTGTTCTTTTCTTTTCTGTTCTTTTCCTTTCTTTTTATTTTTATTTTTCTTGGCAATCAACTGTGAGCCAGTTGCGTGTAACAGGTTTTTCCTCTTGAATAACTGGGACTTTCTTACGGGACTTTTTCGGAGAGTTTCTGCAGAGAAGAAAACAGGTTAGAATCGGCACAGCGCAGACTTGCAATAGATATGGCCCATGTAGCAGCCGCAAGAAGTTTACAACGGTGAGGCACACATTTTCGCGTTTCACGTTAGAACCAACGGTGCTCTGGCCAAGTTGCCAAGTTTCTAGCTGCTAGGCTGCTAGTTACTGGTTGCAAGTTGCTAGTTGGGCTGGCAGAACCAGTTAGGCTCTTGATTGTTGTTGCGCAAGCGCGGCAGCTGAAAACCAGCACAAAATAAATCTAACATGATTTAAGCAACGGAAAAACATGAAATATTAATGCTGATGGTTGACTCTTAACGGTCTCTGCGATGGTTCGCCTTCATCGGCCCTCCCATAATGATCTCCCAAGATCTTCGATCGCACCGGGCCTCTGTTAGGGCCCAGTTAGGCGATTAAGCCAAAATTTACAGCTGGCCCATTGGGCAATATGCTAGAATCAGTCTCCCTTCAGTGTTTTCGGCTTCAAGCTTGGAGGTCATGCGGTGATGGATTCGATTATTGCGGTTTTAGCTGTTCTTGGCTCTATTTTTGCCAAAGTTCTGATTTTTTCATGGCCCATACCTCTTGGCCTAATGATGTGCAATTACTCTGCTGAGATTTTAATGCGTTTTTGAAGGGTTTTTTGTTTTTGGGCCTTGTTTTGAATTACTTGGCCTAAGATTTGGACAATTTATAGGATGGATTTTTTGGATTGGGCATTATTTTTTAAAAGAAAATAAATGCACCCATAAAAACGAAAGCATGAGAGATGTTGTTTAGTCTCATAGTCTAATATGTTTTATTTTTTATGAATCTGTATATAATTTAACCTATCCATTTATTGAAAATATATTAACATTTTAACTTTCTTCTGACCATAACCACACTTTCATTTCAACCCCCTGCTTCAAAGCTATCATTTCAAAAGTTCCCGCCCTTCCCAAACCCACCACGGATGTGCAGAAAACTTTTCACACCACGATGGGAATTTCCCGGCTACCACCCCCTGCTGCCGCCACCCGCATGCAGAGGCTAAGGGTGGAAAAGCTGCGCAACAATGCCAAGTCGGATGGCTCGTTCTCGCACTCGTTAGCACTCGGGCGGGCTTCCAGTTTTTCCTGGCTATGCACTTGGCATTATGCCTACTAACCCTATTTTCGCAGCAGTTCGCAGCGAGTCCCATTTTTCAAGTTGCACGCGGGGATACATACACACACAAACCCACTGCGATTTTCCCAAAAGCAGCAGCAGCAGCAGTAGCAGCAGCAGTGGCAGCAACGGTGGCAGAAACCGAGGCGCAACCCCCACGAAACGGAAAGTTTGTGCAGCAGCAGCAGCAACTGTGTTTGTGGCACTCGAATTTGGGACACATTCCTGTAAAGGACGCAGCTCCGGTCAGCTGCTGCTGCCACCAATAAATAATAATAAAAAAAGGCCACAAAAATCGAGGCACAAAAAACGCGCGCGGTGCAACATGATTATTTAATTAGTTTTCGATTCTAAAGTGAAATAAATTAGTTAATCGAAGAGTGTGAAAAACAGTTGGGAAATTGAAGATTTTAATTGAAAAACCAGGACAGGAAAAGGATCGAGGCAAGAGGTGTGCAGCTTCTGTACCCTGGCGTGGGTGTGTGAGATTATTGATTTACATGTTGGCCGCTGAAAAATCGATTATTAAAGCCACTTTCCACTCACAGCTGGCTGTGTGGCAGTGAAGATGGTGGTGGTTGCATAGGTGGGGGTTGCGTGCCGCAATGTGGGAAATCAACAGAACCAACAAAAACAACAACAATAACAAGAGCAACAGCAACAGCGACGCTGGCAGAGACACACTTCCAACTGTTTTGACGTCGGCTAGTGGATTCCAATGGCGCTGCTTCTGCCAAAATCGTATGCTGCAGCGCAGCCTTGCAGCCATCCAGCGGCGACGCGTTGCATGTGCAGCAGCAGCAACAACAACAAGAGCAACAGCAACAGCAACAGCAGCCACAACAACAAAAACAACATCAGCAGGATACGAAAGCGAGGATGACAACAACATCGAGGAGTTGGACTGCGACCGCTAACAGATACAGATACAGATACAAGCCCAGTTATAGCCACAGATACACAGTTACACCAACACTTGCCGGACATTAGCCTGCAACATATTGTGGCTGGAAAAACAAAGAAATTCAAAATAATCAAAGTGAACAAAAATTCCCCAGAGAATGCAGTTTAATTCAAAGGTCTTGAATCGCCCAGAAATCGCACAAAGTTGAGTATACGACCCGTATTCCAGCTGCAAAGCGAACCCAAACGAACCGAAACGAAACGAAACGCACAGGTGCATCATTTCCCTTGCCACCCCCCTTGCTCTTGCTCTCTACTGCTGAGAACTCCCGCCCTTTGCCACATGCCCCAATATCCCCAATCCCCAATAGCCCCTCCTCTAGTGGTATCTACACCAATCTGACAAGCAATCGAGGAATCGCAAAATGAATGAATTCGTATTCGTTTAGTCGACAATTTTTAAGTGCACTTTCGTAAGGCTGATTTTGAATTTATTTCGATGTTGTGCTTCTACACCCAAAACCAAAGTAATTAAAGCCAAAAACCAAAACAAAATCTATAATTAATGGAGAGAATTGCCCAGTGAGAGCAACGAACCAAGTGAAAGTGTGAGTGTTTTAGTGTTTAAGCCGCAGGAAGAAATCGAAGGACTTTTCCCCAGAATCTGGTTGAAACGGCCTCCACAACGGATAGGCCAAGAGATCTCCTGCTGATCCAGCAGGCCAAGCCCCCGGGCAACGGCAACGGCACCACCAACACCATTGCCAGTGGCAAGTCCTCGTCGGGCGGTGGCGGCCAGGTCTATATCGACACCGATGCTGCCACAGCAGCCGCGGTGGCAAATCTGCGCAGCAAGGTGCCCTCCATCTCGATAATCCCCCTGCCCGTGTCCACCAGCATCGTGGCACGCAGTGGAGCAGCTGCCGCGGGTGTCCTGCCCCAGCTGATACCCAGCTCAGGCGCCAGGAGCGTGTCCAACAAGTCAACGGCCACCTCGCCTCCGCTGGCCTTCCTCTCGCAGGACTCGCAGGCCACGCCCGGCCTGACCCTGCTGCCCCGCCCCCAGCAGCAGCACCAGTACCAGCAGACCGACAAGTGCACCGTACTGAAGCTGGATGTGGTGAAGCCCAATCCGGGGGCAAGCGGGGCGTCCGGCACCAGTGGTTCGTCCAACAGCACCTACCTGCAGATCGAGCAGCAGCTCAGCGAGCTGGAGGCGGCCGACGAGGAGGAGGAGAACATGGCCAGCCTGCTGGGCAGCGGCCCGCCCGCCCAGATCCTGGCCAACCAGCCCATCATCGTGAAGATCGAGCCCACGCAGTCGTTCCACATCGTGGATGAGGGCGACACCCGCGTCCTCAGCCTGCCCCTCACCGATGCCGACAAGCTGGGCGCCAGTTGGATTGATCTCAAGGACATAGCGGGCCTCCAGGCGGGCGGGGGCGCCACCCTGCTGGACGTGTGCTTCGAGCAGGCCAACGAGGACGGCACCATCATAGCCACAGTGCAGCCGGACATGGACACGGATCTGGAGGGGGACCTGGAAGGGGTGGCCGAGCCGGAAGATGAGACTGAAACAGAGCCACCGGCACCCAAGAGGTTGACCATCACCCGAATGCAACAGCCAAGGCAGCAGCAGCCGCAGCAACACCAGCCGCAGGCTAAATTCCTGTCGGATCCCCCGGCCTTGGCTCGCTCCAGCAGCTTCGGCAGCCTGAGTAGCTTCAGCAGCCTCAGCAACATCAGCTCCGCCTGCAAGAACATGGCCAGCACCAACAGCAGCACCGAAAGCAGCAACAACCTGAAGCGCTCCAAGGAGCGCTCGCCGCCACCAGCACCCCACCAACCAGCCATGCCACCTCTCGCCGCCCAGAAACCCGCTGCCATGGCCTCGTCAGCGACGACGGCAACTGCCACTGCCACAGCCACTGCAATATCCGCTGGCAGTGCGGCAGGCACAGCAGCAACATCGGTCCGCGATGGAGGCAGCAACAACAGCGGCAGCAGCAGCAGCACCAATGGAGCCATGACAGGTAAATAGATTTTAAAAAGGGATTAACTTTTAAGCTTGTTAACGAGAGTTAGTATCTATATCTTTTATAATAGATTTTTAAAGATTTATCCTATCTTATCTTAACATAGTTCATCTAAGCTAGTTTGTATAAAAGGACTTGGAATAGTTGAGAGTTAGTAGGATATTCAAACTGGTTCTTTTATAATATCTATCATTTATAATATCTTTTATAAAATATCTACCAAAAAATCTGGCCATCTAACCAGAACCTATAATATTTCTATTTACGGTCCAAAACACTAACCAAGTAGTTGTAGGAATTCCACTTGTTGCAACAACGGCGGCCTAACCACAGTGAGCACTCACCCAGAGCGACCACTGATGATCAGCGATGCTTCTGATAAGCATCGCCCACCATCCCCTGGCCCTCCTCCCCCTCCACCCCCTCCAAAAGAATCTAAGCTATGCAAATGAACGCTCCGGCATTGCGCAAGCATCCCAGGCAGCAACAGCAATTAACAGGCTGACACATCAGCAACACATCAGCAGTGGCAGGCAGCAGGCAGCTAGCAGGGGCAACAACAGGTGTATGGTGTACACACCCCATGCTAAAAAGAATTTCAATTTACAAGCCTCGATTTATTGGCTATTCACCTTTGTGTGGCTGCAGCTACGGGCATGTGTCCCACTTTCCGGACTCGGCAACCACATGCGGCAACAACAACCAGCAACAAGCAACAAGAACATGTTTTGACACACTAAATAAGCCGCTGCTAGGCTGCTAGGCTGGTAGGCTGCCTAGCTTTTGGCCAAGTCTAGGTGTTCTTTATCATTAGGTTCTGTTAGCCGTTCTGTCTTCTTACCAATGACTGGGGTGTTGTTTCGCGGTTTTCTGTTTTTCTGCTTTTTCTGCCATTCTTGCTACCTCGACATATTCGCTTTACTGCTGCAATACCAGCAAAGCTGCCAAGCTACCAATCTACCAGTTACAGATACAGATACAAGATACAGATATACAGATACTGGCGCTGTTCTTCTGCTTGGCTCATATTTTTACCGTACCACGAACCTTAGCGGTAAAAGCGTCAACTACAAACTATACAGTTAACTGAATGAAGTCTAGAACGGTAGAGGGAGATAGAGGGTGAAATTCCAGACAAAGCGTAACTGGCTATAATGCACTGAAAGAAAATAGCTATTGAAAAGTTGAGTTTATTTTTTGTTTTTAAAAGATATATATATCTATTTATTTTACCCTCAAGTATGAATTTTTCTCAGTGTAGTATTAACGCTTATTGGCAGTCGGATTATGAAGGGAGCCCGCCGGAGGGGCAGCTAAGCTGAAAAATGGATTTGGCAGCGCCTCGGGCCCCCATTTCTCCACTCTTGATGACTACAAATGAGTGTCAGGCACTGACGCGACTTCTCATGCAGAAGCCCTACCAGTTTCGGCCAAGATTGATCTATATTTTATAGTTTCTGTTGATATATCTCGGCTCTGGGCAGGGAACACCATTCATTAGAGGCTGGGGCGTACCAGAATGTCTCGAATGGATTTCCCCGAGTTGTGATTGATTATCAAGTCAATCAATTGTTCCCCTAATTGCTGTAAACGCCAGAACAAGATCTGGAAAGGATTGATTTTCAGAAGCTATATATAGCTCAAGTTTTAAAATAAAATTATGATTAATAAAGGCATTTAATTCCCTGAAATCACAAGCGGATTTGACAATGATTAGCCCACATAATGGAAGTTGGCTAAAACGACAAACTAAAAAGCAATCTATAATGTGAAACCCAAACGATAGGGTTTTCTTCATCCAAAGACCTTTCTGCAGTGGTGGCGACCCTGAACATGGTCGATGGACTTTGCCGGGGAGATGTCGCAACCCGAAGATTACGAGATATATTTTTTTGACCATCGGGATTCACACTATCACTTTTGCGATATATATACATACATATAGTTGGTGGATGTCGGTTGGCTGTTTATTGTTGTAATTTCCCAGTGCCAGGTTCATTATAATTTGGTTGGACAACGTTTTGCATTTCATGCATGAATCTTCTGCTTATTGGCCTGGCTTATGGGTCGGTTCGGTGGTCTGGTCTGGTCTGGTCTGGAAGACTCGAAACAACTATAGCCCCGGCTATTAGCCAGGTCAGCCCCCCATGAGGCTTCTTCCAATCGAGCGTGGCGAAGTTTCATTATCATATTTTCGATTTTTGCCAAACTTCATCGATGCTGCTGTTGGCCGGGCGATGTCGTAATGCCCAGCTTATTTTTGTATAATAAATATGTTGTATTTTTTTTTTTTTATTTTACTGGCTGCTCATCTCTGCTCGTCTATGCAAAGTACGAATTATGCTGCAGACGGCGAGTGTATCTTTGTATCTGTGAGGTGCAGACTTAATGGCTTTAGTATCTGGCGTCGAACGAAACCACATAAATTAGCCAAAGCGAAATATTAATTTATAACTTTGGCGAAGTTTGTTGTTTTCAACATTTACATGGAAATTGACTTTTTTATTTTTTGCCCAGTTTGCTTTTCATTTTGGCAAACTTCGAAAGCAAATTGCCAAACGACTTAAACTAATTTTAACATTTTTAATTGGCTCGCAAACTCTGTCTTGCAGTTCACCTTGACTGTTTCTGCGACTGTGTCTTATTTCTTATATTTTTTGCACGCCATTTGAATATTTATAAAATTAATAAAGTGTATGCATAAATAATGCAACTTAACCCAATTGATTTTTGCATAACTAAAGAACCGAAAACATAAATAGTGTATCTACTATGTATAGTGTATGAGTATGAGTTACAAAGTAAACAAAATGGCTTGTTGACAGGACACACAGTGACACAATTTGGGGCCAATTTCCGTTTCCGTTCCCCGAAAACCATTAGACGCATGGCTAAAAAGTGCAATTAAAGGCCGGGCCAACTGCAGTGCACACATTTTGGCCTAAAAAGCAATTGACCTGCTAATTGAAGGAAGCGCCAAAAGCTTCAGTCCGCTCTCTCTCGTTCTCTCTTTATGTTTTTTTGGTAAAGAGAAACGAAGAGAGAACTCCAGATAACAGCTGATTGGGGGCTCTCTCTCCCGCTCTTTGGGCTGAAAACTTTCCGAGCGGTTGCCATAGCGAATGAACGGCCCAAAGCGGAATGCTGACAGCAGGAAAACCCGTCGAGTAGGAGGGGCGTGGGGGCTTGGGGGCGGGCAGGCGGTTCCAGCCGAAGAAGAAGTCATCGGCACAGAGACACATATACCCACTGACGTTGCGCTCTCTTTCGGGGGAGCCCTCGTTGGGTCGTTGGGCGGCCGGAGCTCTCCGCGGCCACTCGCTCTCTCTGCGGCCGAGGTGCCACCACACACACTCCGCATTGCGACGCTGCCGCCGCACTGCCGGCGTCTCTGCTGCGCCGCGGCAGCACCAGCCGCACGACGACAACGAACTCGATAACATTTCGAGGCACTCTTCAGATACACCTCGAATTGAGCGTTTCGCGGCGGCGGGTTACGATGCGTGGCGCGTTGTATCTTTATTATTAATTATTTGTTGTTGTTGTTTACTCTGTACCGTATTATTTCCCATCGCTCTATCCGTATCCGTATCCGTATCTGCATCTGCATCTGCATCTGTGTCGCGTGTGTGCGTGTGTGTGTCTATGCGTTTTGGATCCCCTCCCTCCACTACCACCACCACCACAACCACCATCCCCCTTAGCCAACGACGAGAAGGAGCAAAATAATACGAAAATTATTTCAAAAAAATTTTGAGAAAAAAAAGGCAAACTACGAAACTAACGCGCGCGCCAGCCGCTGCCTCAGTGTGTTAGTGTGTTAGAGTGTGTCAGTGTCGGTGTGGGTGTGTGTGCAAAAAATATTGCAACATGAGCTGCAGCAACTGCAACTGCAACTGCAACTGATGAAGTTTGTTCGGTTTCAGATCAAAAAAAAATCATAGAATACGGTTTATCTATATCTCTGCGAGCACACACACACTCACAGTACCAGTCAATCAATCAATCAATATCGTGTGCATTCAAATATCACATCGTGCCTAAAACTGCAACAATTGCAATTCTGATTGCAACGCGCGCCTACCCCCCTCCCCCCTCTCGGAAATCGGAAACGGAAGTGCCAGTGACGTAATACTCTCCATATTCCTGAGAAAAAAAAACAAAAGGATCCTGGGAATGCAATATCCTTTCCCGGCCCCCATCACCAGCCTCCCCCTCGTCTAAACCAATACGATTGTTCAACAACAACAACTAAGAAACAACAACAATATAGTGTATGTGTACGATCGGTGAAGACCAATATGTGTGTCTTAGTGCCAATGTGCCAGAAAGGATAATCCCTCATCGCCACCCGCCAATTGGATAATTTCAGCATCTTTTGGATACATCTCACGGGCGGGTTGAGGAACTTGTAGATAGGTTTAGGATTGCTTTCTCTTGTAGTCCCCACTCCGTTCTAATCAGAATTTATTGGCCACTTGTGAGGGAAATAGAACTATTTTTGAGTTCTGACAAGTTTTTAAGATCAACAGCAGACAGTAACCGTCCCTCGAGGTCCACATTCCACCTCTTTGATGACCAAACCCCACTATTTCCGTCAGTTTCCAGTTTTTTTGCAATTTTTCAAAGTATCTATTATAACTTCTGGGGCTGGGGCCCATTGTCTTTGCCATCATCATCCTAGGAGGAGATCTTTGGGAGTATCCCAAAAACTGGCAACAAAGCCACAAGATGCCCTTTTCTTGTCTATGGCCTTATGGTAGTTGGCTGCCCCTTTGTTGCAGATACTGTATCTGTATCTGTATCTGTATCTGTGTCCATTGTGGCAACTTATGATTATCAACAATTGTTATTGTTGTCGTTAGAAGCAGTTAGAGGCGGTAGTAGTTGCTCCGACTTTTCAGTTCAGGCGAGTTCATAGACTAAAGTCGGTCGCCAGCCAGAGCCACCCACTGCTGCTCCTGCTCCTCCTCCTCCTCCTGCCCCTCCTCCTTCTATTTCTTCATTCCTTCTGCTGCCTTTTTAGTCGGCTGTTTGCATTACCGTTAGTGGAACAACATGGCTAAGCACACACACACTCGCTACATGTGTCGCCCATAAGTGTGCCACCCCAGATGCACTGAGAGAATGCAGCAGAGGCTTCTCCAAATCGGGAGAAGATATAGTTCTTTAAGTTTTGGGATTAAAATCTTTGAAGCTTCTTGCACTTCTTCTCCAAAAGAGCTTCTTAGTCAGACATCCTTCTATTAGAACGATTTTTCTTTCCGTGTCTAGGCGGAAAACAGCCTAAGCACAAGTCCCAGGCGGAAAAGTGGAAAAGTGGGGGCAGCCGTAGAGCCCACCCATAGGTCATTGGTCTTTTTCGACGGCGTCAACGTACGACGACGGCAACAGCAACAGCAACAGCAGCGGCAGCGCCAGCAGTACAACAGTAACATCAGCTGCGCAGCAACAGCGACGCTGGCAGCGCTGCCTTGTAAACTTTGTCGTCTGCTTTGCTGTCGCTCTGTTGCTGTTGTAACTGTAACCGCCTTCGGCTCTGCCCTCACCACCCCCCCACCCTCTCAATCCCACAAGCAATCTTTCACCGTATGATTCTCTCTCTCTTACTCATCGTCGGCTTGACCGGCTCGTTAGCTTGGGGTACCGTTAGTAAGTTCGTTGTCGTTGTGAGAGAATTTTTCATTTTACTGTTGGGGGGGGGGCTATTCATTTTCATTTTCTTTTCAGCATTTTCTTCTTTTCATTGCGTTTTTGTCTATATGTATATGTGTACGTATGTTTGTATGTTTGTGTATGTAAATTTCTCCCTCTCTGTGTAGGCCATCTCTTTCTATGTACTTCCATCTCTCTCGCTTTCTGAGCTGGCACAATTTTTGTGTTGTTGCTGTCGCTTTGGTGACGTATTTTATACGTCTGCCAGAGGCTTCCGCATGGCCACCCAAAGCCACCCCAAACCGCCAACATACTGATTACTCCCCCGGCCCCCTTGGGTGGGGTGGGGGGCTCATGGCGGCTAGAAAGGGAGAAAAGTAAAAATGTTTTTATATTCATTGGGTTTGCCGGCTCGTTTGTGTGTGTTTGAGCTTTGGGTCATAGAACTTTTTTCTATGTTTACCCCCCCTCACACACACACACACGTGCGCCTACACTACACTGGTGGAACACACCCACTATGCCTGGCGATGAGATTTATGCGCTGCATTTTCAGGCCCCACGACCCAACCCCAACGTCTGTCTGGGCACCCTTAAATCCCATTTCTTTATCGATTTTTCATGTCCATGTCCGTATAATCATCGCTGGCTAAAAGGGAGTTGCCAACCGAAAAAAAAGGGAGAGCGTGAGTCTAGTTGGGGGGCGGGGAATTCGGCCCAGTTCCTGTTTGGCAAAGAGGCACTCAGACACACATATTGGCTACCCTCCAAAAAATCCCATAATTTATGAGAGAATCACTTTCGAAAATTATGTGCATTTTTGGGATTTTTAAATTAAATGAAAATTTTTAAATTCCCGCAGACATCATTCCCGTGCAATATGCTGAATGCCATGATTTGGCCATGGCTGACAGTGCGTAGCAAAAGTATTTACATAACGGGCCAGACCATTTTGTACATCAAAGTGTTTAAGCTAAAAGCCTAGAGGGTCCTTAATAATTATAATAACAATAATAATAAACTGATGAACGTTTCCAAGGCAGCGACAGTTCAAATCGATGAGAAAAGCGCTAAAGATTGCGTTTAAATGTCTTCCGGAATTAATTGTCGTGAAATTTTCGTATTTTTGGAAATTTTGATTTGGAATCAAGCAAAACAGAGAAATCGACAAAACAATGAGCATAGCAACAACAACACCAGCAACAGCAGTAACGAAACAACAACAACAACAAGCAGTAATAGCAACAACAACAACAAACAACACAATAAAAATCACAGCAACCGAAGAAGCAACAGCAACGCAGTGAAAGTGATAAAGCAGCAGAAGCAACTGCCAAAAACAACCAAAAACAAAACTTCAAACAACTATAATACCAATAACAACAATAACAACAATAATAGTAACAGTAACAGCAACAGCAACAACAACCACAATCTGCAAATACTGCAAAAGGGTTAAAGGTCGTTCGTTTCGAATTAATAGGATATTCATACAAATCATAGAAAATCGCTTTAACTAAACAATTAAAAAACAAAAACAAAAAAAAGTTAAATAACTAAACAAGTGTCTTATTAAAAAATAGTTATAAACAAAATTAAATAATAATAATATTAAAAGCAGCATCAGATCCAACAAAAACATCAACAATTTAGTACCTACAGGCCTGACAACGTTAGATCATTATATACATACATATATATATAGCAATATACAACATATATATATATATATACATACATATATCGATTGGCAAGCCCCCTCTCACACACAGCAAGCCCCTCCCCCCCGTCTCACAAAACACCCATACACACTGTGATAGTTCTTGATTCACACTGGACGCGAGAGATCCATTCATAAAAAGCAGATTGATTCAAAGACCAAGTGCAATACGATTGGCTAACAAAATTGGAACCGAAGGGCAGCTATATAAAGTATATACCTATATATATATATATTAAATACTGTATACAACGTTTTACATATTTACAAACCAATATATAACAAGTTAAAAAGCAAAAGACTACGATTTCCAACTCAAGAAAGAGCTGCCGGATTACGCATTACGCATACGCCCCGTATGGCCCGCGGCCTAACAGAGTGTGTGGGCTGCCGCCACAACTGATACAACTGATAGTATACCCCCCTGCAAGCTGCAAGTGTACTGCAGCGACAGCCAGTTAAAGCAAAACGTTAGAAACGTCACCAAAGCTTCGCATTTCCATTAATAATTATGTATACGCAACGTATGTTTGACATGTGGAGCAGCGTCACTTCGAAACTGGAAGCACACGCAAACAATCTCGGTCAAAGCAACGTCCAATCGCCGGCGGGACAAAACAACTCCAGCGGTTCCATCAAAGGTAAAGAAGAGAATATATATCTATATATACTAGATATATGTAAATACTTAAGTTGGGCCTTCTTTTTGGAATGTCATTTATAATAAAAACTTAAGAACAACAGTACTTTTTGTTTAGAATCTATACTTCATAGATTCATATACATTTATATCATGTAGTCTCTTAAAGTATTTCAAAAACCCTCTTTCAAAAACCCAATTAAACCAAAATGGTTTCTAATTTTAAGAAATTTCCTGCCAAACCCCAAGGAAGTCTATTTTTAAGAGGGATTTTCAAACCACGAAATGTTTACTATTTGGTAACTTTTAACTGCAAGTAAAGTAAACATTAAGTGTGAACTTTCATCCCACAAAAAAACAAAAACCAAGTAACTAGAGAATTGCACAAAAAACAACTCAAAAAAGGCAAATAAATTTTAAATTTAATGAAATCCAGTTAAGTTGGGGGTTTTATGTGGCAGAGCCAAGTCACTCACTCAGTCAGTCAGTCAGTTGGTCCCGAAACGAGTGGCTACCGCCGTGTTGTTGGCAGTGAAAGTCACTTGGGTTTCTCAACAAAAACAAAAAATTATTTAAGGGAAATCCATGAAATTCGTAAATGAAGAAAGACCCCCAAAAACACCAACAACAATAAAAACAACAACAACAACAGCAGCAGAAGAAACAAGAGCCAAATGAAAGATTACGAAACATTATGCCACACTGCCACACACTCTTGAGTGTGTTTGCATTCGAGTTAGTGTATAGTGCGTAGTGTGTGTGTGTGTGTGTGGTTTGCATTGACAATTCAACTAATTCGAAAAGGCAATCAAATGGTTAGAAAGAGACAGCCAACAACCTTTTCTTCTCTGCAAAAAAAAAGATACAAAGATACAAATTGTGTATGTAACTGAGCCATAAAAAGTGTAAAAAAAAAAAAAAAGTTCAAAATGAAATGAAAAAGAAACTTGCGAATTAAAATTCGCAGGCCAGTCATAAAAAAAAATAAATGAGATATTGTAATGCCAACAATGTTTCAAAGAGCTATATACATTTTATTATTATTCGTGGAAGATGCAAGACCATGTGTGCAATATAATAATATAATATTGTTTCTATACAAAAATGGTTTAATTGCGAGTATTCTTCGGGGTTTATGGTCATGAACTATGGGGGTTCTTTGATAAATTCAGATAATATAAGGTTTCAGAGAGTTTAAGCCAAGAAGGAGACACATTTTTTATCAAAAAACTTACTAAAAATCCAAATAGAAATTCATTATCCAAGTCTTTAAACATTTTATAATGTAATTTATATTGTAGTGCAGTAAGGAATAATATAATAATATCATATAATATATTCCTATTCAAAAATGGCTTTGTTGAAAGCTATCTTGGGGCTTATAGACCTTTATTATGGGAGTCCTTTAATGAACTAAGATAAAATAAAGTTCAAGAAAGTTGAACCCAAAACAGAGATGCTTTTTATTAAAAAACCTATACAAAAATCATAGTAACAATTATTCATATTAATTTTTAAGCCATTCCCCTCTCTTAAAGTATTTGAATGATAATTATAAAAAGAAAACCAATTTAAATCCCTTGAAAAATTTCCTGTTTGGGGATAATGTGTCGCCCATCCGGACCTAAAATAAACTACTGGCCACAACTAATTAAATTCACATTTAATCCGAGTTCCTTGAACCCTTAGGGGGTCAGTTCCGACTGCAATTACCGTAATAGCCGAGCTTTAGGAGCATATTATATATATCCAACATAAATCTTAATCGCAGGCCACCATCTATCCCCCTCCTGGGGGGGACGCCCATGGGGTTGCGTGTAAATTAGTTAAGGGAGAAAACTGAAAAAGGGGTGTAGGGTCGGTGACTGTCGGTCACTGTTACTTTTGGCATGCAATTTGCCTTTGCGACTTCCGCAAAATCAACTTTTTATTTTATTATTAAAATTTTCACTTTTTGCTGTTTTTTTTTTATGGTTTTTTTTTTGTTTGCCTTTCCTTTTGGCTGAAACCGTGAAACTGATAGAAACGTACGCAAAGTGAAAGAAATTTTGCGGCGTAAACAGAAAGCAGCCAAAAGCAGAAATTTAAAAAGCGAAAGAGTTGACAACGAAAGCGAGGGGGTAGTGGGGACCCTAGGGATGTGGGGAGCGCGAAGAAGCAACAATAAAAATATTGAAAAAGAAAGAAACCGAAAAAGTTTTGTTAAAGTGAAATGCTGCTGCTTTAGCTGATTGTGTAGTCTGCTCACCACTACACACACACATATACACACATAGACCGAAAAAAAAGCGCCCCATGCAGGCCCAAGCCCAGCCGGCCAGGCCCGCCCTCGCCCTCCCCCTCCGAGAGATAGTGCGAACGGTCGTTTAACACTCAAAAAACTATGAAGCTACAAAATTTCTGGCGGCGCGTATCTGTGTGCCCCGCCGCGTGTGCCGGTGTGTGCGTGAGAAGCGCCAAAGCACACAGGCCGTATAGCTCACACAGCCATCATCAGCGGGCAGCAGGGCAGCAAGCAGCAGGCAGCAAGCAGCGTCAACATAGTAAAAGTCTGAAATCGTTGAAAAAAAATTATTTTCGGCGGTCATTCAACTCGCACGCACTCACACACACACACGCACTCTCGAACACGCACTTTGCGATAGAGCGCCGAGCGGAGAGAGTGGGAGAACGGTGGAGCGGGAGCGCGGGAAGAGAGTGCGTGAGAGCGCAGGGGTCGGGTCTATTCGATGACTATTATGCGGGAGCTAGGCATCGACTGCGTCGCCGGCAGCGGTGTCGGCGTGGGCAGCGCAGCCAGCAGCACGCACATTACAACATCGACACAATGGGAAATACTTTCTATGGCTTTTTCTACTGCTCTCTCCCCCATTTCTATTTTCTTTTCAAACAACTCGACTCGTCGCGACTCGAAATTATTATTTATGCAGTCAAAGTTTGGAGCCATAAAAATGCGATAGCATGGGAGGCATATGGAGGAAGAATCAGCCACTGCCTTAGAGTGGGGGGGAGGAAATTCTGCCGCCCACTTCTTTGTTTGACAATTATTGCGTGAATTTCCACGATTACCGCTGCTGGCTCTCCCCCTACTGCTGCTTGCTTTTCATGCAAATGCCGTATTAATTGCTTTGAGTAGAACAGTCGTCGAACTTTGACTTCCTTTTGGGCCGGCCATTAGGCCGTTAACTTTCCTGATTAGGCACAAATGATAATGGCCTATAAATAGCATTTTACCAGCTTCCTAGGCACTAAAGAACCGGTGGAGAACCATAAACAGAGATTATAAATCAGATATGAATCAAGATCTAAAAAAGATAGATCAAGATATGGTATTAAAGACTTAAAATATTAAAAGCTTTCAACATCATATCATATCTATGACTATCTGTCCATAATTATCATTTAGGAAGATGGTATTTAGGCAATATAGGGTTGTTATAGATCTTATCATAGAGGAAGATCTTGAACTTCATCTTTAACAAAAAGATAGAGCATGATATTGAGTTATTGCTACTAAATATATAAAACTATATATGTATATAAAAATAATATATATATTTGACTAATATATATATATTCCATATCATACATATACTATACATATGTATATCAATATTAGAAAAATATATTTCGGAAATATGAGATTCTATTAGATCATATTATAAAGTATGATGTTATATTTCATCTAAAAATTCAAGAATATATTCTTATAACCCTTATTTTATTATACTTTCTATTCAGAATTCTATAAAAAGGTCTTTAAACCTTAAACTTTAATTACACTAATGCCTTATTGATACATATTTCTCTTCCTTATACCTTATTCCTTATAAAATAATAAAGATTCTTTTTAAACTTTCTTTTTTTTACCATCTCCATAGTTGGCAGATGTCTGTAATGACACATGTTCTCCAATTTGCATACCAAACTCACACTCATATACTCATATATACTCATATTCCATTTGAAAAGAAATACCTAAATTTGGCATGGAATTTCCCATCAATATAGCCCACCCCCATATAGTATCTTATAGATTCCGTATGTGGAGCATGCAAATATTTTGAAAAAATTCTGGTCTGTCTGCTGGAGGCAAATAATGGAGTAATGTGTTCATGTTTTCCAAAAGTTCATTCGCATGTGTCCTAGAAAAATATGAAATGCAAAAAAAAAATAG